TTTTTTGGTTGTTTGGCACTTAAAGAGAGCTGTGACCTGATAGTAGACCAAGTCAAAGTACCAAGAGCCAGAGCTAGCTAACTTTTTGAGGGCATCGTTGGTCCAGGGGGCGTGTCCCGCAAAGACAGTCCACATATCTTCGTCCCTAAAGATAACGTGGCAGAGGTGATCTACGGCTTGCTCAAAAAGATAGTCGTGCTGGTCCGAAAAAGAGAGTGGCACAGTTGTTTGATGCAGCTTGTGTCCCACTTCTTGGGGATACTGGCTTCGGGCTGCACGTCCATGGCTGTTTGCGAGTCGTCCATCGTCCGAGTGTTTCGCCAAAGTGAAAGTTCTAGGAAAATAGCACCAAAGAACACAGGCACAAGTAGATGCACAAGCAAAACCTCCACCGAAGAGGGGGCTGCTACGCTTCACCTTGAGCCTCGAAGCATTATGTACTACCAAAATCAGACAAGAGGCTCAGCGCTTCTTCTCCCGCTCTTCCACGAGCGAGAGGCGGGTCCCCGCCGCCCTCTTGCCAAGCCCGGACCCCCCTTGTGAGCCCTTGCCAGACCCAGCAGAGCCCTTCCCACCAAACCAGGCCTTAACATCATCCGGCGTGTGCCCCCAAGTCCTCCAGCACCTTCCGTTGGTATTCACCCGGGATGAAGCGTCCAGGCCGCAACCCCAGAGGGGGATACATTCCACCCTTCTTGGCCACCGTTTGAAGAACTGCCGGCGAACGGAGCAACTGCGAGACCGACAGACAGACCTCCCCACGACGGACGAAACAGAAGCACGAAGACCCACACCTTCGAAACATCTTCTGGCGGCTCTCGGACCTGCACGGACTCCACGACGTCCTCCGGCCGAAAGCCTCGCAGCCCCCCAAGAACCTCCTGGTCAAGCCCCTGCTCAGCCAACTGTTCAACGAGCAGGTTGAAAACCTGCAGCTTGAGCGGGACGACTTTGGTTTCGCTGGACGCCGCCGCTGCCCCTCCTTCCTTGGCCCTGCTGGCTCCTTCTTTCCAACCCGCCCAGGCTTCCTCCAACTTTGCACGACACGGCCCTTGGGTGAAAGCCACCCATTGCCTCTGGACTTTGTCCTTCCCAACCCCCTTCGCGGTAGCATTCGCAAGGCGCGCCACGTTACGTACTTGGGTCTCAAGAGCATCCACCCTCGCCGCAACCGCCTTCTTCTCCGTCATGCTACCGGCGTACAAGAGCTGAGCAAAAGCTGCGCTACAGATGGAAACGTTTGAGGTGATACTTAAACTGATGCACACTCTTGAAAGTCTCGCTACTCTGGTTGTCTCGGAGACACAATGCGCGAGGAGCAGGAACATCTTTTTCCTCGTACCTATGGCCCGCCGCGATATGCAATCTCAGGCTAGGAGCACCAGGCCAATAACCTAGACAGAACGGGCACATGAAAGGGATAGCGAGCGCGTGATCATAGTTAACATGCCGTGTAAGCCACATTTCCCTCTCGAAAGAATGCGGACAAAGCTTACAGTCGAAACCTGCCTGCCGAAAAGTGCCTACCTTGTGCGTGATTAACTTATGGTGCGACAGGCCGCCCTTAGTTGTGTACCTTCTCCCACATCCAGGAAAATCGCAGACGTAGTCACCATCAGAAACATCGGTGGTCTTAGGCACATTCCGAAGATTCCAATACTTCGTACGCACTCTAGGCGGTACCGTGCCGTCCAAAATAGCCTTGGCATCATCCTGTTTTTTAACGTACCATGCCGGAGGTCGCTTGTTTCTAGAAACCCTTCGCGGAGTGACACCAGTATGAGTAGAGCGCGAGGACTCTGGAGAGTTTGATTGAAGGGTGACAAGAACGGTGGACACCAACAGCCTAAACATGGCAAGATCACCCTCCGTTTCCGCATCCTGAAAACTACCTTCCACCAAATCGCAACATAACTCCTCCATACCCACCTCCGGATTTCCGCGAACCCTTTCGCGAACATCGGCCGTCAGCGTTTGCACCAATTTTTCCCGACCCCCAGCCGCCAATTCCAACCTCAAGAACGCACTTCTAGACGCAAGTTCATTTTGAAGACGGTCAGAAGCCTGAATTAAGCGCTGTCCATGCCCTACCCTCTTTTTAAGCTGGAACACCTTTCCCCTGGGTAGCTCATTCCTAGGTGGAGGCGGAACATTTGGGATAACCGCCCGTGGTTTGTGCCACAACGCCACACACGCTGTTTTTTGTTTCCAAAAAGCGGCACCTTCCCCACTATTTGCAAACTGCAACCACCCTGCCGATCGATGCCTGCTGCAGTAAGAACCTTGGCAAAGGAGTCACGCAACCGTTTCCCGGACTGAGGGCCAGGCTTCCTAGCTTGACCAACATCAGGCGGTAGAACACCAAACAAAACGCGCTTGGGGATTCTATGATCCGGCATACGACCTACATGACCAAGCCACCTAAGCCGACATTGGCAGACAAGATCTGCAATGGAGGGGACACCCAGCCACGCCCTCAGGCCATCATTGGATAGTGAATGATCCCGTTGATATCGCAACCCGTAACCCGAAAACCGCCGCAAACAGATCATGTCCGCACCGGGTAAGTATGCGTCCACACCTCAGCCCCATACAATAAAACAGACAAAACACAAGCGCGGTAGACGCCAATTTTGGTGCTAATGGACAACTGTCGAACGTTCCACACAGAACTATTGAGAGACCAAAACGCTTTTCTAGCCTTCTCCAACCTTTCCTTGACAGCCATATCACCCGAGCCATTTCTTTGTATAATAACACCAAGATACTCAAAGTACTCGGAAAACTTAACAGCGTCAAAGCCTTCAAACTCCTCAACTTGAATAGGTGCATGCATACCCGGAGCAGACGACATGGCTTCAGTCTTTTCGACCGACAATTGAAGACCCCATTCATGAAGGTGAAGCTGGAAACCCTTAGCCATCCCATGCAATTGCGAAAGCGTATCGGCGATAAGTGCAGCATCATCAGCATAGCCTAGTTCATGAAGATCTAATGCCTCCCAAGACGAGTATTTGTCTTGCGCTTCCCTATGTAACAGTGCCCCGTCAATTCGCGTGAGCCAGTGCACACCGCCACCAGACTCCCCAACCCAAGCCTCAACAACAGCAGCCAAGAAAATGTTGAAGAGCAGCGGAGCCACGCAACACCCCCGTCCAAGGCCTGTTTCCAGCCCAAACTCTTCGGACAAGCCACCTTCCACACTAATCCTCGCCTTCTTACCCGAGTAGTAGTCACGTAGAATAGAAATGAGCCTGGGTGGGACACCCTTTCTTTTAAGCACTGCCCAAACACCCGCGCGAGAAACGGAATCGTACGCTTTAACGAGGTCAACAAACAGAACATGAAAGGGGTGTTTCTTGTAGTCCGAAATTTCCATAGCCAGTTTCAAAGCAAACACCATATCCATCGTCCCTCGCCCGGGTCTAAAGCCACACTGAGTTTCGGGTAATAGTCCCTTCGCCTCCGCATACTGGGCGAGCCTGGCGTTCATGACCCTTGCAAAAACCTTACCCGGCATGGACGTCAACAAAATGCCTCTCCAGCGTTTGCATAGCGTTAAGTCGCCCTTTTTTGGCAAGGGAACTAAAAATGCCTCCTTCCACTCCTCCGGCATAGCATCAACACCCGTCCACATACGAACAAAAAATTCATGTAGCGTTCTCTTGTTAGTAGCATCCAGCGCGCTTAAAATTTCCGCCTCAATTCCGTCCGGACCAGCCGCGCTGCCCAACTTCAGACGACCTACGGCTGCCAGCGTCTCCTCAAAACTCGGTACGTCTGGGTACATTCAACAAGTCTTTAAAATATTCTCGCCACCGGCAAATCCTTCCTGACCTGGTTAGTATCAGATCGCCCTTAGCATCGCGAAGTTTGCACGGACTTTTCCTGCCGATCGCCAAAACACGCCGCAGCTCCTTGTAACCCGCAAACTGGTAATTGTGATCTTTGGCATCCACCCTCGCTTGTATTTCCGACGCCTTTGCCACTCACCACGCGTTAATGAAGCCTCTCACCTGCTTTTTGACATCTTTGCACTTCTCTTTATATGCCTCGGACAGAAACCCACCAGGAGCATGCAGAGCCACCTGGCGTTTTTCCTGGCTAAGTCTTGCTAATTCTTCTGCATACACTATCTTCCATTCTGGCCCCCCTCGTTTAGGTACCTCGCCAAGACATCGCTCCGCCACTTTGCGCACAGCATGACCGAACAGCGGGTATCCTTCACCTTCAAAGAAACCTTCACTCATAAGTGAATGTAGCTGCATGTTGAAGTCATCAGACACCTTGATATCCTGAAACCCACCAACCATCAACCTGGGAGGACGACTTTCAGGGCCTGCTTTAATGGACGACCCATAATGTTTTTGCAGCATCGCCCTGGGTGGTACCGCCATCTGCAAACGCAAAAAACAGGTGATCCGTATTGTGTGCATACCCCGGCATAACCCGCACATCCGTAATTAGACCCAGAGTTTGGCGGGAAGAAATTACGTGATCAATCTGAAACCAACGCCGTGACGACTGATGAAATCACGTGCCGTACTCCCTGTGCTGAAAGAAAGTGCTCGCCACGCGGAGTTGTTTCTTACTTCGGCTTGCACAGAAATCCAAAAGCCTGACACCATTGTCATTACGTTCAGGTAACCCGTGTCTGCCAACCATTTCGTGCACCGTAGGTGAATCTTCCGTCGAGTCCTCATTCGCCAACCCCACTGCACTCGCACATTAAAGTCGCCCAAAATAACAATTTCATCTTTCCGCGGGATCTTGTCAACCATTTCGCCCAGCGCCTCATAAAAATCTTCCTTCTCCTCATCAGAACAACGGAACGTAGGAGCGTAACACGAAATGACACTGAAAAAACGCCCCTTAACGCAGAGCCTGATCCGCATCAACCGTCCGCCACCGTACTCACAGAACTGGTCCGCATCTTTCCACGCCCTCTGCATTTCGCTGTTCAACAAAAAGCCAACACCCTGCATTGCCTTTTCCTCCTCGGCCTCAATACCTGAGAAGAGAAACAACCATTCATCATCCACCATGATTTGTCCTTCGCCTCTCCACCTGTGTTCTGAAATAGCACATAGACTAATCTCATGTGTCTTCAATTCCAGACATAAGCTATCGATCTTAGTTGGGTCCTTCCCCCTGATAGTAACCTCCCCGGTGCTTGTAACATGTAGATAAGAGTGTAACGTCTGCAAATTCCAACATCCCCAATTGAGCTTAGGCCCCCTACGCCACCTTCGCCCCTGCTGTCTCCGCCCCTGTCCGGGCGTCACAGTTGGATGGGAGAGCTCCGGTGGCAGCGCTCGAGTACTCGTAACCCATGCGGTAGCTAGAAGATAAGTGCAAACGGGAAGCCAACCCGAGTGCACTGTTGGCCAGAAGCCTAGCATGGACTGTCTCCCTAAGGAGACCCTGGTTCCATGTTCAGCATCCTAGCCCAACTACCGTTAGCCTCCTGCATACATGTCAGAGAACACTAGCCCGAAGCAAGAAGCACAACCAGAAGAACACCGAACACCGAGTCACGAAACTAAATGCAGGAGTTGCCACCCCCCCCACGGCGTTGAGGTGGTAGTCCGGGGGGGCACTACAAGTCTTGGCTCCACGAACTGCGCAGAAAGCATGCTCATGTTCTTGCAGCTATAGTGGGCGCTCCAGCCCGGGCATCAATGATGCCACATACACAGTTACGGTTTGCATGCATGGCTGAGGGGGCTTTCCAGCCCATGCAAACTTTTAGCCTTCAGTCATCCAATCCAGGTTCACACGCCTCCTGAGCAAAAGATCCCAAAGGAATCTATGCTGGCCAGCATCGCAGCGGGAAGCTTGGCAACGGGGGCGCTATGCACACAGCTGGCGGCCAAATGAACCATAGTTCCCATGAGCGGCTCTGCACCGCGGCACCACTTCCTGATCAAGGCGTGTTTGGAGATCCTGTACACATGTTCTGGAATGCTGCATGACAAGGACAATGCCCCCGGGTTCATCCACCGGGCCGTGCTGGGCAAGTGGGCAGTCAAGTGGAACTTCTGGACTATGGAATATCTCAAGAGCCCCTTCTCAAAGCAGTGTTTTCCCAGCCATTGGTAATGTTTCAAACATTTCTCCACAGACTTGGTGAATGCGTGGTCCTCCTTGTTCCATCTCAGGTCCGGCTTGTCCGCCAAATCCTGAGATATTCTTAGTCCGGAAAGTTTTTTCGCCAGGCAGAAGCTACAATTCAATACAAAGTGTTTCGCACTTATGCCAAGACATCCAAGATTCATACATCTTTGCCAAAGCTTCAATGGCCAAGAACCGATGCTGGGACTTCGGATCCTTTTCCCCCTCGCACATTGTTTAAGGTCCTAATACGTACATTTCTTCCTGCTACAGCAACACTATACTAAGAAAATAAAACTAAGAAATTACTAAGAAACAGCATAACAAGATGTCTGAGCCTTCATTGTACTGTTCTGCCAGCTCCAGGGGCACCCGGCACGAATTGCCGAACTCGGCGTCCTTTCACATGTTTCAGGCATGGGAATTCCTGGACTTCGCCAAGTCCCTCCACTTCGATCTTCCCACTCTCTGGCTGGCAGCCACATTCAGTGTGGCATAAATGTCTTGGATCTCCTTGTAGATCCTGGTCTAGCAGAGGTCCCTATTCTCATCGCCATCTTCCACCAATGCCTGACGACAGGGTTAGGGCTTTGGTGCTTTCCAACCCTAATCTACAGTAGAAAGCACAAAACGAAGACCGAGGTGCAAGGCAAACAACACAACCTGATCCCTGTCCTTGTCCTTGGCAAGGCTCTTGAAAAACCATCTTGGAAGGCTTGATCCTGGGATTCTCCCACTGCAGCTGCTCTTTCCAAATTTATGCAACTTCATCCGTGCCCAAAACGGCATCGAAGTTGCTCTCCTTGAGGCAGCCGACCCAATCCTCCGGCAAAACAGGTACCTCACCAGGACCGTATTTTTCCACACCTGCTGTGGGATTGGCTTTCACAGTCGTTTTAATTATTTAATCACTGTGCATTCCGGAGACACCATCTTCTTGAAAAACTTCGTCTTGAGGTACCGTTGTATATTTCCTGGGTTGGATTGTGCCAAAAGGGGAATATATATATATATATGCTACCCCCCCCAAAGATCTATGTATTTTACTCGTTGTTCTGCTGTTAAGGCCTACATATTCTCCCAGTATGCAGCACACCTGTTGTATAGTGCGATTTCACACCTGATGCGCACTAGCTTTTGGATCGTCAAGCCTTTGAGCTGAATTGTGGGGAGAAGGGTTGCTGAAAGGCTTGGGGCCTGGTCTCGTTGAGGACAGGTCACCGGTAAGTCCTTCGGCAACTCATCTCACCAGTAGTCGCGATACGGCATTGCCGATGACATCACTGCCCCGCTGGAGGAAAACTGGACGAAAAGCTCCGGATCGACACTACGAAGGCCTGGACCGTCAGGCATGGGTCGAGATCGCGGGGCTAGATGACAACTTCAAGCAGCAAGGTAGTGTTCTTGTGTGCTTGACTGCAGTGGGAGAAGAGAGAGACCTCAAGCATGGCAGAGTCTTCATGGGGCATGTGATCGCTTGCCAAGATCAGTATTATGAGCATTGGGTCAACACAACTTATGGAGCGTATCGCATCGAACGAGTTGCACCGATACATTTTTGTCATACCCATGCCGCCAGATGTAATGAGAAGACTGTGTACCGCGTTGTTATCCATGCTGATGTCTTCCGCGTTCTAACAGTTGACATGCTTGATGGAATCAAATGGCTGACGCCACAGCACAAGACCAGACTGCTTGCTTATCCAGAATATGTTGCGCAGTCAAAGGCCGGTCTCCCAGACCCTGACATCGAGAACGGGTTGGGAACAACCCCTGATGAGGTGAAGACTGGGATGCCGGGGATTGAAGGATTGGCTGCGGCTCTGGGAGGGGCGACGGCTGCGCTAGACGGAACAGTTCCGGAACCATTGCTGAAGAAGCCTAGGAAAGAAGAGGGACATTCGAAGTCAAGCCGTTGCACCAGAGAGGAATTGAATGAAGAGATTGCAGCCCGAGCACCTCGGCCTCCCCAGAACTCGGCGCTTGAGCTCATGTCTGCGAAAGGTCATGAGAAGAAAAAGAAGAAGAGTAAGAAGAGCAAAAAGGATGATAAAAGTGAAAGGTCATCGAGCTCTTCTTCGGGATCTGATGGCTCAGTTTTTCGCATGGCCGCCCTACCCAAAGGGGTAGAGAGACTGAGGAGAGTACACCAGGACCATCCTGGTCGCTTGGCGTCCTTGACGCTTCTCAGGCTCCAAGAGCTGCTCCAAAGAGCTCAGGGTGGGGGATCGGCCGTCGAGCAGAACAAGCTGCCCGCAGTAGCACGGGCTTATCTTCATCAAATCTATTTCCAGG